CGGAGGGGCGGCAGCGCAACGATGCCAGAGATCCAGCGCATTGAAGAAAGCAAGACGTAGGTTTTTCGCCGCTTTCGGCCTCTACAGTGGGGGCTCGGCCACAAGAAACCTCCGCAAGAAACCCAACCCTGAAATACGCGATTTGTTCAGTGAAAATCCACATGTGTCGATCGAAAATTGTCAAGATCTGATTGGGAGCCCATCAAAATCCAAGAAACCCAGGGCACCCTGGCAAAATCCAACTGGTTTCTTTGCACGCGCCCCCATTGTAGGGGCCCTCGCCGGGCCTCGGGACGGTCAAAACACTACTCAACGTGAAAAAAAACAGTCCTGGGGAAGGGGTCCAGACTTCCGGGGACCCCGCACTGAAAAAATGAGGGCGTCCCTGGAGGGCGAACAACTTCCCCGTATGCAGTGGAGGCCCGACCACAACGAACCTTTCACAAGAAACTCATCCCTGGAACCCCAGGACGCCCCTTGAATTCTGGCGTGGGAACGTCACGCCGTCCATAGCACAACCATCGAAACTGAAGAAACCCGGGGCACCCTGGGGGCAAGCAGGTGCTTCTTGGCATGGGCCTCCGCTGTAGGGCAACTTCCCTCTTGAGACGAGCGCTTCCTCCGAAGCCGATCTTCGTCGACAGCCTCGGGGGCCCGCGAGGAGCCCCCAGAGGCCGAAAGCGGCCCCGAAGGCCAGGCGCTCCAGCTTTTTGTCGGAGGCTCGGGTCTCTGGGGAGGCTGCGGCCGTGGCCTCCTATAGAGGAAACAAGACACTCCACAAGCAGAAACTTTTGGCGATCCGCGCGGATCTCTTGGCTCGGCGCGCGCGCGGGGCGCGGGGGGGGGGGCTCCGCGCTCGTGGCCCAGCCCACAGAAGGAATCGTGCCCTGGGTTCTTGAAGGGAACTGGGACACAAAAATAAATAGACACAAATTCCTCCTCCTCCTCCTCCTCCTCCTCCTCGTCCTCCTCCTCCTCCTCCTCATCATCATCATCATCCTCCTCTTCCTCCCCCCACTCCTAGCCCTTTCGATCAGGGTCGGCGGCACCGGCCCTCAGGCCTCTCCAATAGACACAAATAACCGGACTCCCCATACTTCCCCATATTTTCTAAGGGTTTTTGTCTCCCCCCCACTTCCCATATGTCTCCATGTTTTCCTGGGGGTCGCCGATTACTTGTGTCTGTGTGTTTTGTCCCCTCCTGAGTTCTGGCCTGTGGAGCCCCCGGGGCTCGAAGAGGGCGTGGTGGCCTGGGCTCTGGCCCGTGGAGCTTCTTCGGGGGCACTGTGCGCGCGTCGGGCCCCACGGGGCCCGCCCGCGCTCCGCGGGCCAAGGCTGCCTGTTTTGAAGGGGAACTGGGACACACAAATAGATAGACACAAATAGAAAGATTCCCCATATTTTCCTATATTTTCTGGGTTCTGGGTTTTTGTCTTCCCCCCCCACGTCCCATATTTCCCCATATTTTCTGGGGGATCGAGGATTAATTGTGTCTGTGTGTTTTTTTCCCTCCTGATGTTTGGCCCGTGGAGCTTTCTGTTTTGGCCTTGCGCGTTTGGGGCTTTTGCCTTACGCGCAATCTCCAACGCGCAAGGGCGCTCGAACGATTTCCACACATGTCCGCGAGAGGCACGTTTGGTGCCATCTGATGATCATGTTGAAAGCCAATGGCTGTCTCAAGAATTCGCAGGAGCGCGGGGCCGTGTTTTTTAAGATCTCGCCGAAGACGTGGACCGTCGACGCCCTTGGATACGTGTGGCGGACTCTGAACACGGAACCCAAAAAAATGGCATCTCTTGGGGACGCAACTTTTCTTTCCGCCGCCTTCCGCCAGCCTGCCGCCGGCCTTCCGCCGGCTTCCGCCGGCGGAGGCGGCCTCGTTCGGCTTCCGCCGACCCTCCGCCGGCCCCTCCGCCGCCCTTCCGCCGCGGAAGAGACGGCAGCTCCTCCGATCCTCGAAGGCGAGGTCCTTCTTGGAGCACCCCACACGTAGTGCCCCCCCCATGGGCTATTCGCCGCCATCGCAGCCTCCGGTGCCGCGGCCGGCGCCGGACACGGCCCAGAGGAGCTCCAGCGGTAACCCGGCGGCCCGCGTGTCCAGGGCCCGCACGGATCGGAGCGAAGAGCTGGAGCTTCTGGAGCTTTTGGAAGGGCTGGAACTTCTGGAACTGTTGGAGCTTTGGGACGGAGCTGATGCTATGAGATGTTTCGGCGCGCGCGCCGCCCCTGGGAGGGCTCTGTGGGGGCGGCGCACACGTGGTATGAACACGAACTGCAGTAGGAGCTCGACCACAAGGAACCTTCCACGAGAAGTCCAACCCCGAGACCCCGGGACGCCCCTTGATTTTTGGCGTGGGAACGTCACGCGTTCCGTCGCAAGACCGTCGAAACCCAAGAGACCCAGGGCACCCTGGGGGCAAGCAGGGTGCTTCTTGGCATGGGGCTTCCACTGTACTTCGTGCTCCTCTGGAGCGTATCCGTCTCCGCAGGCCTGAAGTCCCCGCGGACGATCCTGCATCTGCATGATGTCCTTCACGGTGGCGAGCTTCCCCTTGCGCAAATGCGTAATCGCCTCTGGGAGGGTGGCCAGGAGAGAGGGGAGGGGGGCAGGGCAAAGAGGGGAGGAGGGGAAGGGGAGCAGGAGCAGGAATATGCCCGTGGGGTCCGATCAAACTAGTGCTACGCCAACCCCGCACCCGAGCGAAGCCCTGATCAAGTGACGCGCTGGAGGGCGGAAGAACCACCCGACCAACCTTTCAAACGAGGCCTTTCTGGGTGCAAGAGTACCTGAAGCAGGAATCGAACAGGACAGGGCTGCCTCGCAAACGCGCGGGCTGGTAAAAACGCAGATCACGGGGGGTCGGGGTGAGGACCCCCGACTCCCACGACCAACGACTTCTCCCACCCTAATTAGGGAAACAAGTAATGACATAAACATAAAAACTCCGAGGTCCGCGCGGATTCCTCGGATCGGCGCTGGGGCCCCTCCGGCGGCGCCGGAGGCGCTGCCCCTGGCGCGCTCCGCGCGCCAGGGAGAGGGGTCCAGCGCCGAGCCGAGAAATCCGGGGAGACCTCCGAGCTTTTATGTTTATGTTATTGTTTGTCCCCCTAGAATCCCACCCCGACTTCCCCCACGGCTTCCCCGCCCGACCCGTGGACTAGAAACACATCGGTATCAACGGCCTCGCCGGCCAGGCCCCTGGGCCGGAACCCCGCGGACACAGGGGCGTTTTTTTGCGGATGCCCCGCGCGCAACGTATCCGTGCGTCCGCGCATCCGCTGGATCGCGCCCCGGAATCCAGACCGCGAGGGGGCGGATGCGGATGCAGTCTGACTTGGGCCAGAAGAGCACCCTTCAAGAACACAAGACCCTCCATCGGCCAAAACCATCAGAACATCCAAGGATACCCCCCCAGGATGTATTTTTGTTCCGTCGCGGCGCGGCGGCGGCGATCCGCTCGCGCGTCGAGCAAACCCGGGCTGCGGAGCCGCGAAATGTGCCGCACGCCAGAGGGGGAGGGGCCGCGGGGCACCCTCCCCGCACAGACCGCCATCTTCTGCCTCCGTCCAGCGGAGTGCCCGCCGCTCGTGGCCAACGCCCCGCCCCAGCTGCGGTCGACGCAGACCCCTGGGGACCGCCGCCTGCTCGGGCCTGGAGAGGGTTGGTTGGTTGGTTGGGGTCTGGCGGCGGTTGATCATTGCTATGCAGCCACTCTTCAGACAGGCGAGGGCGAAAGCCGACTTTGGGGCTCCCAAGTCCCCAACTGAGCGTGGCGAAAAGGTGACAACGTGTGCTCGTGTGCTTTGATCCTTGGGGTGCCCCAGTCTGTTAGGGGACCGCCGCCTGCCCGGGCCTGGAGGGGCGCGGCGTGCACGACGGCGCCCGAAGGGGCCGGGCAGGCGCCGCCCGCCGCCGGGCGCCGCGGCGGTGCCCCGCGCCACCATGGGGCCGCGGGGGTGGCCCCAAGTGGAAGAGAGCGAGGGGCAGAGAGAGAGAGAGACTCCTCCTCCTCCTCCTCCTCCTCCTCCTCCTCCTCCTTCCTCCTCCTCCTCCTACTCTCCTCCTCTCTCCTCCTCCTCCTCCTCCTCCTCCTCCTCCTCCTCCCTCCTCCCTCACTCCTCCTCCTCCTCCTCCTCTCCTCCTCCTCCTCCTCCTCATCCTCCTCCCTCCTCCTCCTCCTCTCCTCCTCCTCCTCCTCCTCCTCCTCCTCTCCTCCTCCTCCTCCTCCTCCTCCTCTCCTCCTCCTCCTCCTCCTCCTACCTCCTCCTCCTCCTCCTACCTCCCTCCTCCTCCGCCTCTTCCTACTCCTCCTCCTCGTCCTCGTCCTCGTCGTCGTCGTCGTTGCCTTCGTCGTCTCCGCCGCTCTCGTTGTCTTCGCCATCGCCGCCTCGGCCTCCGCCGCCGCCAGCTCAGCAATCGTTTCAGGCTGTGGCTTCAGCTGTGCGCCATAGGTCAGCAGCCTGTGCGGCAGCCCCCCTCTTCCCCCCCCCCCGTGTTGCCCCTAGTGGCAGAAAAAAGGCTTTGGAACGCCGTGCGCGGCTCGGCGAGGAGCAGCCATCTGTCGAAGACGGCTGCTGAGTTGTTAAACCCTCCTGTCAGGCTTGGCGAGTGGAGTGGCGAGGCCCGCAGCCGCCGTCGTCGTCGCCTCCGTCCTCGCCGCCGCCGCCTTTGCCGCCGTCTTAGTCGCCGCCGTCGCAATCGTCGACGTCGTGAGAGAGAGATAGAAACAAAAAAAGCAACAGCAATAACAACAACAACAACAACAACAACAACAACAACAACAACAACAATCATTTAAGACTGGGGACACTCCGTTCTCACCAGTGCCAGGGTTTTCATAGGAGGCGGGCAATACCCCCACTTTGTGGGGGGGCCGGTTCAAGCTCTACCAAATTTCCAAACGACTCTTCGCCACCACCCACACCCAGCTTCCCGCCCTATGACGTTCGGACACTTCACTTCGTGGCATGCGGACGACCGTGGCTACTATTCAGGGCCCCGCGGCCGACGACGACGGCGTGCGCGCGCGAAGAAAAAACGAATGTGTCCCGCATGGTATTATTTGACAGGGATGATGGCCCTGGCAGGTGCGCAACCGTTGTCGCAGAAGTTCGAAAAAGTTGCTCGCAAAAGCCCGTTTGACAGAAATGTTTAAAAAGTGTTGGGTTTCCTACGAATCCGCAAGAGCGCGCGGGATGAGATTTTGACATTTTTTGTTGAAAAACCATTGGTTTTTTGATGTTTTTATGTTAAAATCGCTCCGAACACTAAGCTTTTGGAAGGATTTCGTCTTGCGCGCGCGAATGTCCACTTTACCTTATTTTTTGCAAGGGATTCTTGAAATTTGATTATATTAGAACAAGAAATGTCATTTTATAGTGTTTTTTGCAAGGGAAAGCGGATTACAACAAAACAACCGGATCTGATCACATCGCTGAGGCTTCCTCACGAAAATGATGAAAATGTAGCTGCGGCCTAGGCGGCGCAGGGGGGGCGCGCACCAGGGGGCCCAACAATAATTATTCTTTAGAATAAATAATGTTCAACAACAACAACAACAACAACAACAGCAGCAGCAGCAACAGCAACAGCAACAACAACAACAGCAGCAGCAGCAACAACCCCAACAACAACAACAACAACAACAGCAGCAACAACAACAACAACAACAACAACAACAACAACAACAACAACAACTACAACAACAACAACAACAACAACAACAGCAGCAGCAGCAGCAGCAGCAACCCCAACAACAATAACAACAACAACAACAACAACAGCAACAACCCCAACAACAGCAGCAGCAACAGCAACAACAACAACAACTACAACAACAACAACAACAACAACTACAACAACAACAACAGCAACAACAACAGCAACAACAACAATAACAGCAACAACCCCAACAACAACAACAACAACAACAACAACAACAACAACAACGCAAGGACACCCTTTCAGGCCACCCCGGCGGGGCCCGTGGCGGTGTCCTCGCCCCCGGGGCGAGCGCACTCCCCCAGGCCACACGTTGCAGTTGTTGCTCGGGGGGGGGAGGGGGGAGCAACGCGCAACACCTCTGTCATACGCTAATGTAAATCTATATGTGTTTCCGAATCTCCGTGGGCTCCCTTACTGTTCCCCACGCACTCCTGTGTCCGAAAACCGACCGCGCGCCAGCGAGGCCAGCTCCTCCTCCCAATAGAACTCCTATGGAATATTGCAGGACCCTGTAAGGATCCTATATGATCCCTATAGGGTTCCAACGGGATCCTGTAGGACCCTGTAAGGGTCCTACAGGATCCCTATAGGGTTCCGATGGAATCCGATAGGACCCTGAAAGGATCCTGTTGGAGCCTTATAGGGTTCCGATAGAATCCTGTAGGACCCTGTAGGGATCCTATAGGCCCCCCTCGGATTATTATAGGGTTGTTTTGGAATCCTGTAGCATTACACTGAGATTCCTGTAGGACTCCTATAGGATTGCGATAGGGTTGCTGGGGGTTCCATAGGATTCCAATAGTATTGCAATCGGATTCCTATGGAATCCTGTAGGACCCTGTAGGGATCCTCTAGGATTGCTATAGGGTGCCTATGGAATCCTGTAGGACACTGAAGGGATCCTATAGGGACCCAAAAGGACCCCTAATAGGATTCCTATTGGAATCCTATGGAATCCTATGGGATCCTGCAGGCCCCTGTCGGGATCCTATAAGACCCCAATAGGGTTCCTATAGGAATCCGATGGAATCCTGTAGGACCCTGTAGGGATCCTATAGGATTCCAATAGGAGTCCCATCGGATTCCAATGGACTTCCTATGGAATCATGTTGGACCCTGTAGGGACCTTATGGGTTCCCAATGAGATGCCAATAGGATTCCTATGGAGTCCTGTAGGACCCTGTAAGGACCCGATGGGTTCCCCGTGAGCTTCTAATCGGATTCCTATGGAATCCTGTAGGACACTGCAGGGATCCCATAGGATTCTAATAGTATTACAATAGGGTTCCTATGGAATCCTGTGGGACCCTGTAGGGACCCTATAGGATTTCCACCAGGATTCCTATAGGAATCCTATGGGATCCTGTAGGATCCTGTTGGGACGCTATCGGATTTCCACTAGGATTCCAATAGGATTCCTATGGAATCCTCTGGGACCCTGTAGGGATCCTAAACGATTTCCAATAGGATTCCAATATGATTCCTATGGAATCCTCTAGGAACCTGTAGGGATCCTAAACGATTTCCAATAGGATTCCAATATGATCCCTATGGAATCCTCTGGGACCCTGTAGGGACCCCATAGGATTCCAACATGATTCCAATAGCATTCCGATGGAATCCTGTAGAACCCTGCAGGGACCCTAGAGATTTTCTAAAGGATTCCAAGAGGATTATCATGGAATCCTGTAAGACCCTGTAGGGATCCTATAGGATTCCTGCAGGATTCCAATTGGTTGCCTATGGACTCCTGTAGGACCCTGCAGGGACCCTATAGGATTCCAACAGGATTCCTTTGAGGTTCTGGTGGAAGCCTGCAGGACCCTCTCGGGATCCCATAAACAGTCCTATAGGAGACCTATGGAATCCTGTAGGATCCTGTAGGAATCCTATATCATTCACAACAAGTCGACGGAATCCTGTAGGACCCTGTAGGGATCCTATAGGAATCCTGTAGGATTCCTATAGGAATCCTATGGAATCCTGTAGGACCCTGACGACGACGCCCATCCCATCATAATCATCATCGTCATCATCATGATGAGCATCATCGTCCGCCGATCCTCCTCCTCGTCCGCATCGCCCTCACCATTATCAGCATGACCCTCATCTTCGTCGGCATGTTCAGCCTCATCATCTGTCAGCGATCAACATCCCCATCATTGTCGTCCTCGAGCTTCCTGTGGGGCCAGGGCCACGATCCTCGAGAGGGGTGTGCCGAAATGAAGCCTCGGTGGAGCTCCCTGTGGGGCCAGGGCCACGATCCGTGAGAGGGGTGCGCCGAAATCAAGTTTCGGTGGAGCTCCCTGAGCCACGATCCTCGAGAGGGGTGTGCCGAAATCAAACCTCGGTGGAGCTCCCTGTGGGGCCAGGGCCACGATCCGTGAGAGGGGTGCGCCCTTTGGAGCCTGTATGGGACTCCGCAGCAGTCCCGAAAGGACCTTCCGAGCAACGCCGCCGGGCCCTGCAGACCCCCGCAGCGGCCTGGCGAGGCCTCGTGGCGTTGCTCGGACCAGGGGCCCTGCAGGGCCCGTGCGTGGCCCCGTGGTGTTGCTCGGGGGGGGGGGTCGAGCAACGGGCCTCCAGTAGTGTCCTCGCGAACAACAACAACAACAACAACAACAACAACAACAACAACAACAACAACAACAACACAAACAACAACAACAACAACAACAACAACAACAACAACAACAACAACAACAACAACAACAACAACAACAACAACAACAACAACAACAACAACAACAACAACAACAACAACAACAACAACAACAACAACAACAATCATTTTACCCGAACGCGTGGTGTTCTCCCCAGTGCCAGGGTTTTCATACGACACCAGGCAATACCCCCACTTCGTGGGGGGGCATTACAAGCTCTACCAAATATCCAAACGACTCTTCGCGACCACCCAAACCCAGCTTCCCGCCCTATGACGTTGGGACACTTCACTTCGTGGCGTGCGGACGACCGTGGCTACTACACTGGCGTGGGGTACACACCCACAGAACTTGGTCACTTATTCGGGGCGCGCATGTGCCCAGCATGGTGCAATTGTGCCATACAATACATAATACAGAGGGGGACGTTTTATTCTCAGCGGCCGAGGGCGCAACCTATGGCGCAACCAATAGGGGGGCGTTTTATTCTCGGCGGCCGAGGGCGCAACCTATGGCGCAACCGCAAGGGATTATGGCCCCTGGCAGGCGCGCGAACCCCGTTGCAAGAGCGTGCGAAAGTAGCTCGCGCGAGCTCATGTAACATAAATGTTGGAAAACCATTGGTTGTTTTAGGATTCGGACAGCGCGCGCGGGTGGAAATTTTGAAAAGTCGTGCAGGTGTTTTTCGAGGACCTACGGTGCGATTCGTGTGATTTTATGATGCGCGGTGCTAAAATTCTTAAGAACCCAATGGTTTTTGGAGATTTCGGCGTGCGCGCGCGAAGAAAAAACGAATGTGTCCCGCATGGTATTATTTGACAGGGATGATGGCCCTGGCAGGTGCGCAACCGTTGTCGCAGAAGTTCGAAAAAGTTGCTCGCAAAAGCCCGTTTGACAGAAATGTTTAAAAAGTGTTGGGTTTCCTACGAATCCGCAAGAGCGCGCGGGATGAGATTTTGACATTTTTTTGTTGAAAAACCATTGGTTTTTTGATGTTTTTATGTTAAAATCGCTCCGAACACTAAGCTTTTGGAAGGATTTCGTCTTGCGCGCGCGAATGTCCACTTTACCTTATTTTTTGCAAGGGATTCTTGAAATTTGATTATATTAGAACAAGAAATGTCATTTTATAGTGTTTTTTGCAAGGGAAAACGGATTACAACAAAACAACCGGATCTGGACCCCATCCACTTTTCTGAAGCTTTCGCGAAAAAATGATGAAAATGTAGCTGCGGCCTAGGCGCGGCGGGGGGGCCGTGCACCAGGGGTCCCAACAATAATTATTCTTTAGAATTAATAATGTTCAACAACAACAACAACAACAACAACAACAACAACAACAACAACAGCAGCAGCAGCAGCAGCAGCAAAAACAAAACAAAAAAAACAGCGGGCATACCGAGCGGTGCCAAGGCAGAGGGGCCTGAAGGCCACCAGACGGCCCGAGCCCCCCCTTGACGCCCCGAGACGGCGCCTAGATGGCATCAAGATCAGCAAAGGTGGCCACATAAAAAATTGGCAGAACAGATGGGCCTCAGACGGCCCCAGGGCATCCGGCAAGCCACCAAGAGACTAACCACGCGCAGTATGGCCACGCCACGCCATAACACCTCAGCGCTGTCCTGGACGACCCGAAGTTGGTTCTGCCGATCCTTGTCGAGAGAACTCGACTATACCCACACAGAAATTGGACCGTGCCCAGTGGCGGCCATGCTTCAAAACTCGCCGTTTCACCGGATCGTTGTCCGATCACTCTGCATCGTGGCCTGTCACGATGCCGCACTCCGAGGACGCAGATCCAAAGGGGCCTCCTGATGCGGTCTTGCAAGACAGACCTCCCAGTCCCCCCGTGATGTCTCCGACTGCATCTCCCCCGTCTGTGCCAGGGCGATCGATGACTTCAGAGCCACAAGCCTGGAAGAAAGTGTTGAACTCGATGTGATCCTGCAGGGCGGAACTCTCAGCATGAGAATGAGACAGTAGGACAAAGGAGAACACATGCTTTCAGCAATCGCATCTTTGGGGGAAGGCGCGACAACCATCCTTCCGATCCACTTCACTCTGACCACCGCGGGCTTCAGGCACAGAACATGGAGCGATCAGACCTAGCCCCAAGAACGTATTAGCACCAGGGGGAAGAAGAGGATGATGATGATGAGGAGGAGGACACAAAAGAGATCATCATTCGTGCGATCGCCTTAAAGATTGCAGCCCCCTGGTCCTGATCGTGGAACAGCGTAGCCTTCAGCGCGTCCAGCTCGGACAGGTCCGTCCCACCTGCCCGCTCCCCCCCTCCGAGCATCCACTCGCTTCTGCGGCTGGCGAACGCGCGAGCCCCGCACAGGTTACGCTCCGGAACTTCTGCTCAGCGTGTCGCCGCGGCGGCCCCGGCAACACACTGCGCCTTATAACCCGCTAGCGCGTCGCTCCGCCTCACGGGGCGAGCAGCCGGGAAAGCTCGGGGCGCTGGGCACTGCCACTTGGGGACCTGGACGCGGCCAGCGCGTCCAGCCGAAGCGTGGCGTGCCAGAACTTTCTGGCCCACAGCAGAAATCGCCTGAAAGTTCGCCCGTTTTGTCAGTACCGGCCCGGATGCCGCCGCAGCGGTGCACAGGAAGCGCGCTGTGCATGAAGAAACGCAAGAGGAGGAGAAGGAGGGGGAGGAGGAGGAGGAGGAGGAGGAGGAGGAGGAGGAGGAGGAGGAGGAGGAGAAGGAGGAGGAAGAGGACGGAGGAGGAGGAGGAGGAGGAGGAGGACGGAGGAGGAGGAGGAGGAGGAGGAGGACGGAGGAGGACGGAGGAAGAGGAGGAGGACGGAGGAGGAGCAGGAGCAGGAGGAGGAGGAGGACGAAGGAGGAGCGGCAGGAGGAGGAGGAGGAGGACGAGGAAGGAGCGGAGGAACAGGAGAGGGAGTGGGCGGGCAAGGACTGGCGGCGCCGCACGCGGAGCCCAGAAGTCCCCGACCGCGCGCACCACCGCGGAGCCGCAGCCAGGCCAGGGCGACCGCCTCCGCCGAACCGCCGCGGGGGCAGAGCGCCCGCACGCCCTCGCGGGACGGGGGGGGGGCCCTCGGGGCCGCGACGTGCCGTGCGGGGGCCCTGCAGGGGCCCCCCGGAATCCCTGCGACGAGCCCTGGAGGGCCTGCCGAGCGATGCATCGGTCATGCACAGGCGACGTCGGCGATGCATCGGCGACGCCCGCGCGGAGAAACTCGGGCTCCACGTCGAGCCGCAGCGGCGATGCACCGGCGATGCGGCGCGACCCTCCGACGCCATCTGATCGGGCCCCAGTTGGGAGGCCTGGAATACTGAGGGGAACTTGGAGAACAGACGGGGAGCTTCACCAGCGGAGGCTTCACACCAGAGCCCACAGGTGACCCCAGCACCTCGGGCACTGAGCGGGGAGTCATCAGGCCCGCTCGAGTTCCCACTGTTGTGCGCCGAGAAGCTCCCTTAGGACCGTCTTGGGACCCTCTTGAGGCTCTCGTGGGCCTTCGTGGACCCATCTTGAGGCCTCGGAGGGCCGTCGAAGGCGAAAAGGCGAGAAGGTACAGCAGATTGATTTCCTCGGGTTCTCGAAAGATTTCGGCTTCTCGGTGGCTTCAGGATGGCCCCAAGAGAGCCCACGATGCCCGATTCAAGGCGGCCTAAGACGACTCCGAGGGGGCCCATAACGGCCCCACGACGGTCCCGGGAGACCCTTCAAACAGCCGAAATGACGCCGTGTTATTTCCGTCGGCCTTCCGCTGGCTTCCGCCGAAAGCGACACGCACCCAGGGAGAATGCATGCCTGGAACGCCCCACGTAGTGATGTGATCCTTCTCCCGCGGCGCAGAGGAAACCGATGAGGGGGCGCAGCGGCTAGAGTGAGGAGCACTGCGCGGCGTGAAGCTCTAAGTCCCAGCGCAGAACACGAAAGGCCTGCGAGCCGAGCTGAGAGAGAGATATTCAGATACACATATGTGTATATATACCTATATATACATATATATATGTGTGTAACACGGTATGTCTACATATACATATCTATGTGTGTCTATGTATACATAGAAAAGAAAGAGAAGGGAATGATTACAAATAAAGAGAGAGAGAGAGAGAGAGAGAGAGAGAGAAA